ATATATATATATATATATATATATTATAAAGGAGATTGGTAACCATCTATTTGGTCTTCACTTTTTAGTAGACCATTATACTCTTATAATGTAAAAAAAAAAAAAAATTCTTATATTATTTTTGAATAACTATCCGCAACTTCTAATATTTGTCTATGTATAACTATTAGTGACACGAAGTACCTCAGCCTCTCTAGTATATATAAAGGTGTATATATCATGAGCAACGGTTTAAACACCGACTTATTTGGACTCGGCCCATTTAAACTACATCTTACATACGTTGGGCTTGTGGGTTAACAAGCTACGAAAATTGCTCCCTGCACCCTTTTAGTTGCCCTATACACCCATTATATTTTTAAAACGCCTACACTACCATTCCATCTCCTTTCACCGTTCGCCTATTCTTCCCCCACTCTTCATCCTTCACTTAGTCCCCACAACACTTGATTTTATCACTCCAAAACACATTCCAAATGTTTTTTTTTCTCTCTCTAGAACACATTCCAGATATGATTTTATCTCTCCGACATGTGTATTCTCAACTGTTAAATGTACACCCAATTCAGATTATTCCATTTTGGGAACAACCAATCCCGATCATTGTTTATTCAGAACAAACAATTTGAAACATTATTCTAAATTGGGTGTTCCGGATATACATTTTTCTGGAATGAAGTACTCCGGATTGTACAATCTGAAAAGACAAATCCAGATTGCGTTGGAATGTAACCTTCGAATTGGATATCCGAGAAGGACTCTCAAAGTAAAGGCAATTTGAGAAGTTTACAAGATTGACAAGTGCACGGCAAAAATGGTCGAGTGCAGGAAGAAATTCCCACAAGCCAAACAGTCCTAAAATTTGGTCTAAACCATTTCTAACGACGTATAGCGACCTATATAACCCACCTTATGTAATGGGATAGGGATTTTGTTGATATTAGAAAAATTACACTTAAAAAAAATCCTACCAGATAATTTTCGTTGGAGCAAATAGAGCAGATTAAGCAACATATAAAAGATCAAAAGTTTAATGAAATCTCACTATCCAAATTCCTATATTACAACATTGATCCTCGGCAATTACAGAATCCTACCTAGCTCATATTAACAAGGTTAAGTAGTATTGTTTGAGAAAATCATTTACGAGGATTTTTAAGTGAACTCAAACATGAAATAAATGTTACACTAAACTAGAAATTGGGATGAGTTTTACAGGAAGAAATATATCTTCTAAATGGTTTCCGGGTCAACTATACTAATACTACATATCGTGGTCAAAGAGATAGGCATGAAACATATGCGACCACTATTCTGATTGTTCAAATGGGACACGAACAAACAACTGCCCATGCAGTGTCACCACTGCAGAAGTCTGATGAGGATCAATTCTTGCGGGCAAGCTGACAACCTGAATTCATAAAATTCTTCTTGTCAGAGTGATAAAGGGACCAGTAATGCGCCAGAAGAATCATGCAGAAACAAAAAAAAATGTGGGGGAAAAGGTTCAAGTATTGAATGTATTAGTATTTAGTGAGCCTTTTACTGTATCGATTACATACAACTAGGAATATCCGAAAAATAAAATTGCAGTTCTAGTGAAGCAAAGTAATATTTTGATAGACACATCCTTTTCATTGTTGAAAAAAAATATATATATACCTTTTTGAAAGGTGTCACACCCCAAGGATTGTTGGGATGCTCAGGCTCACCACTTATGACTAAGCGTCCTGCTGGATCTGACTGTACACGGACCTGGTTTTCAAAAAGTGTGGCATATTATAAACATGATTATCCACAATTCCATTTCAGTATTGCAAATTATGCATTTAAACTTATAGCTTACTGCATCAAAGCTAAACTAGCTTCAATAAAGAAAGCAAAATTTCAACAGACCTTACAAGTAATGAAGGCTAGAAAAGGAAAATGTAGTCTCAATCAATTAAACACTTAATGAAATGGCTAGTTCAGATCTCAACTTACACCTACAACTTTTCAAGGGTTCTATGTACGTAGCTCATAAACTACAGATAGCCTTTGTATAAATTTATTATATGGAAGTATGAACATTATCATTGTTGTATAATTTTATTATACGAATTTACCATTGATCTACATACAACATCTAGCAATTCATAAAAAATCAGATAAACAACTTTCCTCTTTTTTTTCTCGGCTCAAGGTTTAAGGGGAATATTCCAGAATATAAACTGGTAAACTTCTCCTTATAGAGGAATATTCCAGAATATAAACAGGTAAACTTCTTATATACACTGAATTTCGCATATTGCAACTTCCTCAGTTCCTCTCAAAGGTGGGGTCGAAATAGCAAAAATCATATGCTTAATTTTCATCACAACACAGATTAATACAGATAAAAGAAACAATAACAACCATAATGCATACCTCTTCCCGCAGAAGGCCAGGAACTAAAGCATATACCTCAAAACAATCTTTCTGCAGAGAAGAGTTTTCGTTGAGATGAGTAATGACACATGACTTATATGCTACTTGAACACAAGATAGAGATCTTACAGTTTTTTGTACATTGACTTTTACCCAATCAGCAGGAGGTCCAATATCAATCACAGTTGTATCCAATCTAGCAGCCACACAAACGAACAAAGGCAGACAGGTCAGCAGATAAGAAAACCTAAGTGCCAAAATAAACACTTTCTATTTTTAAGTAAAGGCTTAAAGCAACAGGTTGGCAACACATTCACTTATTAACTAGACAAATATATAAGCTAGCATTGAGTAAGCAAAACAGTCGAAAAGGGATATTGAAAATGATGCAATCGGATCTTAACTGTGGTTTAGATGGTTTAGTGCGTGCAGCTTTGACGGAATTATCCATGTAAGGTGATGATTGTTTCTTACGTTTGACATAATCTGAGTCAATAGGGGGAATAATCAATACTTAGAATCATTTAACACCTGCTACTGTTAAAAATGAAAGCAATAGGATGAAGGACATACTGATGCTTTTAAGCTGCTTTTCACGCTTTTGCACAGCCACAGTATTCCTATCCTAAGAAAAACAAAAGTATTAAACAATTATATGTAGGTTGAAAAAGAGTAACAGACAATGAAAAAGAATTCAAGAGAACAAAATCAACAATTCAAAATTGTACCAGACCTTAATTATAGGGTCACTAACTTCACCATTTCCTAGAAGACGTTGAGAGTGCCAACCCTGCATAGCCCGTGCTGCAGCATCTCTCCGGGCTCTACCTGATGCTGAAGCCTGCATTTGCCAATCATTTAAAAATGATTGTAAAACAAATTGATTAATGGCCACAGGAAAACTGACAGAACCATCATAGTTCAATTCCCCTTGCAGAGCACACCAAAACTAAAGGATGAATTTACTGGATTGCAGTATTGCACTCTGATAGAGTCATAGTATGTATGTGCATGTTTGATTTTTATTAATTTTGGGAAAAAAATTACTTTTCTTTATTCAAAAAGCTCTCTAAGAATGTCCTTGGTTACAAGTTGTTCGGAATACAAAATAAGCTAGATCCAAAGGCAGGAAATTAATGAAATTATGGTGATGCCGAATGTGATTCTCCAATAATTTCCCATCTCTTATATTGAAATTTGACTAGAATGGGCCTGTATATATTTGCTCAAGCTACATAACACAAAAATGAAAATTGTACATCACCTGATTTTCAATATTTATAGGCTCTGGATGAGAAGCAATAGGCACATTCAGTTCACCACCCTTTATTTTATGTCTTTCATAATCAAGAAGTGCCTGGTGTAGGATATCACAAACAGCAATAATAAAGTAATGGTAAAATAAGCATGGTTAACAGACCACAAAGTTCTAAAGGCACAATATCCGATACAATTTTCTGACATTTTGAAAATAGGAAAAATACTAATGAAATAAACCTATACATCATATTAACCTCTAAATCAAGCATAGCTACATATTTATTGTCAACCGTGAGAAAGCAACCAAATAGAAAATGTATCCCATGTCACAGTTAAGTATTAAACAAATTGAGAAAAAATTTAGACACAAGGACTACGTAAATGGTATGAAATCTCCTTCTATAGGGTCATAGCATGAATTCTCTTAACAGCCAGAAAAAGAATGAGAACAATGTAATACATTGTCCATGCAATTCAGGAAAATGTTTATTATCTACATCAAAAGCCAATATTCAAGCTTAAACAACAGACCTAATAATAAGCTTTAAAGGAACATCAACCAAGCACAGATATAAATTATATTTGTAATTAATGAAAGCAATCAATAAAAAATAAATAAACTACAGTATAACTTATTAATGTACAATCACCTTTTCGTAAAATCCCCGAAAAGTCCATGAGACAGTGGTGCATGTCCTGCATAGGTTGAAAACAGAGAACAGTATTAATATATTATGTATAATCAATTCCGTTCAAACAGCTCACAGCATTCCAACAACCTCCCCAACCCCCCACCCACCCAACAAAAAGGAAAAGAAAGGGTTAAAAAGTGCAGTTGTATAGGGTCTGGGGAAAGGCTGAAAACAGTGAAGAATTATTGGAACACCACATGCAATCCATGCCTTAAATAATGAAAACAACTGCTTCAAAGCTAAGCAAATATGCTTCCTTAAATCAACCATTCATAGTTCAATAGAAGCATTCGCCACTCTTTGTTCCATTGACTCTTAGAACTTTAACAAACACTTCAATTTCACTCAGGACCCTTTCCAATACAGACTATCACTGGACAGTGGCAATACTTGGCAAAATAGACAGAATCCATATCAAAACCTCGGTCAATAACATTTAAAGAGACAAAAGGCACAAATATAAAACTGCTATATAAGATATTTTGATTTCAGAGCCATATACAAGATCAAGACATGAAAGTGCAGGTTGGCCCTTACTTCGGAGGTTTGAAAGACTCGCCCACTTGCCGCCATAACTTACATGAAGTCACCTATTCATAAATATAAGCCAATCAGGTGTATGTCTAGGAAACAATCAAAACAGGTGATCTGATATAAACAAACTGAAGAGTGTAATCAAAGTTAATTTGGGTCCAAAACAACCCCTAGAAATTTTGCTCACCATGTGTAAAATACTAAAATCACATGAAATCTATTAAATTGATGAAAACTAAGCAATTATACAAGTGAATAGGTGTATCATGACAAACCAATGAAACCATTTATTAACTACACGGACAAAAATAGATTTCAGGATTAGGGAGTATTTGGCAGGCTGGTATCTTCACACCACTAAGTAAGAAACCACTATCTTGGATTCCAATGTTAGGAATGCTATCATCCATACAATGTAGGATACTGAGAATCTTAAATATCAAAATCTAGGATGTTCCAAGTATATTTTGATTTATGTTGTTTTTCATACTCTACTAGCAATCATAAACACCTACACAATGATAATAGAGTACAACACATACTGATATAAGGAATAGTTAACCTGTATAGCCAGTAGATATCAATTTCTTGTATTTACAGGGTTTATATTTTCCAGATTCAGTTAGGAGTTAATGAATTGGACTCAAGGTATTAGTTGCCAGATTGATTATGTAGTTGGCTTTCCTAGAATAGGGATGTGTACTATGTAAATACCCGTTGAGATATATGGAATGAACAACAATTCAGCTAGTTTTTCAACAGAAATCAACATGCCAAATTACTAATAAAAATTTAAATTTTACACAGCTCACTAGTCTCTTGCCCTGTATATGTGCGTCTATGCATGTATTTTCACCTTATTTTACTTGCACAATTAAAATTTGTCTTCCCACGGCAGGCACCGACATTTCACAGAAGTGAAAAAAAGAACATGTTTCATGCTAGACAGCTCATATGATGAGTGTCAACAAGATTAACCAACAATCACTACGCGAAATTACAACGAACTTCTACTATATATAATCATTCATCCAAAATCTGCTACGTAATTTTATAACAGTGATTCAGCAGAGAATGCAAAGAGAAAAATGAATACCTTATCATAGCCACCCAATCTCGTTACAGCTCTCCACAACCTTATATTAATTAGTAATTAAGAATTAGGCCAAAGTGATAATATTTTAGAATTGTGTATTTATGTCATATTTAAAGATAAGAAATTTTTTAGAATGAACATGCATAACTCACTTAAGGCAATTTAGTCCTTCTCCATAAAACTTGGGAGGTTTGAATTCCATGCTCCTCTCCCTAAAAAAGTTTTCAAGCTCCTTCATAAATGCTGACTGATCCTCCTCTGTTCCTGACTCATTACCATCATAGGAATGGTCAGCATCCAAGAAAAACATGTGCTTTGAGTTTGAATTCCCATTATCTGCGGGTTCGGTAGCTTGCTTTTCATCAGCCTTATTTTCAACTTCTAATACATTCATAATTTCGGTGTTTGTGTCAGCAAGAGCAGGTTGTGGTGTAGCAGGCTCATTATGACTTGCAGGCATGGGGTTGCCATTATCACAAGTTTTACCATCAATCACTCCACAGGCTTCAGGCTTCACTTCCTCAGCCATTTCAACATCACCAATACTATTTTGACAAGTATTATCATTATTCTCAACATCCTTATTACTCTGGGGAAGTTCTTCAGCATCCAACTTCGCACCAGAAGCTTCTTCACACTCGTTCCTATTCAAAATCTGAGCATCAGCCTCTACTGGAAGAGAGTGTAGAGCATTTTGAACATCCTCTTGTGGAATTCCCTCAGAAACAGCCTCGAGTTCCACATTTTTATCCTCAGCAGGTGGCTCTTCCTTCAAATTTTCAACATGATTTGACCCACTTTCAACATGATCCGAAGTGTCCTCTACTGTATCAGGAGCAGAGGCAGCTTCAGGTTGAACTTGAGCCTTTGCATCAACCAACTGCTGGTTTTCCTCCATGACCAAGGGTACGCCTTGGCCAGCTTCCTCGTTTTCTTTTGCATCACTCATTTGCCAATTTCAATTGTGCATGAGAATTCAACAACCTCCTACACCAAGCCATCACAGGATTTTCAGAAAACGAGGAAACATAAAAAAAAAAAAAAAAAACTTATATGTCAGCCGCTTCCTCCCACTCGAAAGAAATGCAGACAAAAAAATACAAAAATAAACAGAAGTGGAAATTTGAAAAATAAGGAGGGAAAAACGTTTTAAACCCTAAGAACTAAACCCTAGCCATTACTAAAGTGCAGACAATCATGGTTAATTAACCGCAACTAAAAAATGAAAAAGGCGCCACAGAACCATTTGCTTGTGAAATTCACAAAGCCGAAAAGTTTGCTTATCTAAGTGCTCTTTGCAGGCATTCAGGTGAAAAGAGTAAATCAATTCGAAAAAAAATAAATAAAAAGGAAAAAGAAGAACGAAAAAAACAACGGAATGTAGCATTTACCTGTTCGAATTGCAATTGGAGGGTAAGGCAACAATATGAGCAGGAATATAGTCCTAAAGTGGAAAACGAAGATGTGTTGAATTTGAAAAACCCTAATTGTTTATCCTCTTTTCTGCGTTCTGCAGGAATTTTCAGCCCAGCACAAAATTGCTGGTTGAAGCGGCAGATTTTGATGTGTTTGGTAGCACGCGCCACGCGCCGCGCAACTGCCGGGTTCGACGATACGACGTCGTTGCTACCCGGACTCCGAAACGATGTGGGCATTTTGGACCTAACAACTGGCCCAAACATCATAAGCATTGTTGGGTTGAAGCCCAAAATATTTGTTCATTAATACTCAACAATCAATGTGACGTTGAAATATAAACTACAGTATAAGACTTGTGTTTAACTCATGGGATAGAGATCAAGCCTGAATACAAATTAGTCATTAATTATTAATTGTATGGTTTGTGTTAAAATAATCTATTTTCAGTAATCATTACATTTTATGAATACAAATTACTCATTAATTATTAATTGTGAGACATTATATAAATTATATTTGTGGAAAAAAATCCTAAGATAAATAATCAATATCTAATTCAACTATAATAAGTATGATTCTGATATTTTTATGAACTGATTAATTAATTCACTAGTTCAACCAATTGATATATACTTTAGAATTATGATTATGCTATTATTGAGTAATAATTAATTGATTTAGAAAATTTATAATATTTTGCAAAAAAAAAAAAATTAAGTGTATTATGTTTGAAACATGTTATTGTGATTATAATTTTGATTGATAAAAATAAAATAAAATACATATGCTTGCATTTATAAAATCAATATCCGCTTATTCGAGTTTTATTTGTGAATCTCAACCCATTGTAGAAAAACTTTGTTAAAAAATGAAGTGATTATGTAAAGATCACTCATACTTGTTTAAATCAAAGAAGTCTCGTGGAAAATTCATAAAATCGTACTTATAAATGACTTACCCAATGAAGAAATACGAGCAAAATGCCAAACTGTGTACTAGATCCTGCTCTAATTGAGGGATCAAGATCTTTTGCAATTAAAAGTTGAATTGCACCTGTTTTTTCCTTTAAATATTTTATTATTATTTGAGGCATTAAATATCCCTTTGAAACTTAATCACATTCGGATTTATAGTTGCATCTTGTTCAATTCAAAATTCAATATTTCTAGTGCCTTGATTACGACCTTTCAGAAGATTGCATTAAAAATCTTAACAACTACTACTATTGATACTAATAATGATAACTAAAAAAAAAAAAACTTTGAAATTTACTACACTAGAGATAGGTTAATTGCGGAACCCAATGTCTTGTTACAGAAAATATTTGAGTGCGATACGTACGATAAATAAAATTGACTGTTGAAATAAAAATATAAACTAACATAATTGATTGAATCAAGAGACGACAAATAATCAACTAAGAGTACAAGACAAACAAAAAAAAAAACTTCTTAATTAAGAGATTTCAAAAAGAAATGAATAACTAAATTAAAAATAATCTAACAATATATCATTTGTTTTTTTTTAAATCATTCAAAAGTTGAGGTATAATGCGCAATGTGTCTCTCTGTATTTTTTTTTTAATATAATGACGATTATAATATTTAAATTTAAGATATTGTGTTAATTAACCAAAAATTCTCAACTACTAGACCATTTCTTATATATTTTCCCTATATATACATAATAATTAAAATAAAAATACTTAATTAAATGGAAAAGTAGGATTAATTAAATAACTCCGTAAGAGATTTACTGGAAGATACTAATAATTAAGACAACAAAATGAAAATAATCATGACATTAAGCTCTAAACCCTTTTCAAACAAAGTAGTCATTGCATAATTTAAATCTTTTAATTAAATAACTAATTATAATAATTAAAGGTTGTTAACTTGTACAAGTAGCGTAAGTAGTGGGGAATGTAAATTAGGTAGGGAGGTAACCGGGAAGTAAAGAAATAAAATATTTAGATAGACACAAAAAATATATTATTATTGTTATTATCAAACTTTCAATTAATTGACTTGTAAACTTATAATCTCAAGGGTTAAAAACATGTTAACTCACGCACATGCACAATCGTATTTGCATGAAATCAGGTGAACTTGTGAAAACTCAATGATACATGGACAAAATCATGAGTTTGAGCACTGACAAAATAAGAGACACACAAAAGATAGATATAAATACCTTCAAGATGACGACTCTTGATAAATTCGTTTCAACTTTTCTTCAGGTTACAACTTTCAACACTAAGTAAAACAAGTAAAATATATATATATATATATATATTAATGTGAGACTTTAGATTGTAGTGAAACAAAATCTCTCTCTTTCACTCTTTTTCTTTTTTTTTTTTTTTTTTACATGGAACTACTCAATAAATTTTCAAAAACTTTTTTCTTTTTTTTTTAATTATTTTATATTTTTATTGAATTCACCCACGTAGTAAGTAATCAAAATAATTTTGTAGGTGAATGTATATACGATCTCAAAATCTTGCATACGATGATGAATTTCTCAAAAAATTATACAAGTTGGAGAACTTGACCAGATAAATGTCTTTTTCCACCTTTTTCTAAACAATTGTTAAGATGGTGGACAAAAACTGACAGCATCAACACCCGATAAAACTTTAAAAGAAAAAAAGAGTTGATTTTAAAAAAGATAATATGAAATATTTCTGTGTGGCAATGAGTAGCACTGCTGAAATATAAATATAGAGGATAATTTATAAGAAATGCAAGGCCATCCTTGTTAGCCTTAGCCCCATTTTTTATGGCATATCTAAAGGAAATAGTGGTTAATCAATTGTCATAGTTATCGGTAGAATTGCTTATGAATTGGATTTTTGAAAATTTTAAATAAATCAAATTAATTCATTTTATAATAAAAATAATCGGTTAATTAATAACTGGTTTTTATAAAGTATTATCAATTCATTTTTTGTTATAAAAAAATGATATATATTTTTTTAAATTGATTGATTTAATTTGATTCAGTGTTCAATTATCTATATTATACTCATATATAAATTAATTTGTTTATAAAATTGAATCAAACTAAATTGTTTCCATCAATAAATGGAATAGTTTTTATAAAGTTGATTAGTTTGGAAATATTTTTGCAGACCCGTACTTAAGGGACATGCAGCACCATAGTTGTAGATTCTATAGATGCATTGCACCAACTAAATTACTAATGCATGGCAACAAAGCAACCATGCATCAGCATCACTCTAGGTCTCACCTTTTGGCACATATATATGGTCATATTGGGGGCTCAATATGCTATAGGATGCCATGTTCCACTTGCCTACAGCACTATTCAATCAAGCTATAATCATTCACGCATGTATTGTAATTGTTATTTTATTTATGGTAAAATAAGATTTTTTTATATTTTTTTATGACAAGTCTTTTTAAAAGGCTAAACTAATTTAGACGTCCGACTGGTATTACGGCTGAATTTTAAATATTAAAATTTAATCTTGAATCCAATAAAATAAATATACTTTAAAAAAATATAGTCTTACTCGAATGAATATAGGTGTATCGCAAAGATTATTCTGTCTCAATTGACATGATTTACGATAATTGTGGTGGGAGCGGGTTCTACATTTTTTTTTTTCTTAATGGATGACTGATAAACCCTTCGATTCATGATAATATTTTTTGATCCATGGTTCATGATGATATATTTTCTGGTCTGTAATTTAGTCATGCGATTTACGAAGGCATGCGATGTGTGTAATTCTGTTACTGTTAAGAGTCTGGATTGAGTTTTAAACCTGGTGTTCACGGTTCACCCCTGCACACATGTACAGTTAATTACGTGTGTAAGATTCATAAAAAAAATAAAATAAATAAATAGATGTGTTAATATAATTAATTTTATTTTTTAGATAATTAAAAATAAATAAAATATATTCATAGTGGTATGAGATTATCGAAACACCTAATAATAGGTTAAGAGACTCAAAACTCTAAGAGTGTAATTCAACGGTAAGGGTTAATTCACGCTTAAGCAAGGTCAAGGATTCATCCCTTTGATATGTCTCCAACGTAGCGAGCAGGTTACTCCAGGGACGAAAAAAAAAAATTAATCTAGTTTTGTTTTTGTTCCACTCGGTATAGCAGGTAACATGAGCCCACAATCATCTTAACCAAATGTTTGGATTCAAATTTTATTGAATGTTCGATGTTCAGCCGCGTTAAATCTTGGGTCGGCTCTAGATATTTCAGGGATTAACAAAGAAAAAATCTTATTAAATGTAAAATATTTATTTTGTGTGTTTACAATTTTTCAAGGGGAATAAGCACCAATAAAAAAAAAGGATATATTATTAGGGTTGTTTACGGGATGCGATGAAACAAGTAATAATAACACCCATCACATGTTTTGTTTAGTTAAACTATTCATATAGTGGATATCTATGATTTTTATTATATATATATATATAGAGACTTTAGATTGTAAAATAATTTATATATCTTACTTAAAATAAATAATTATAGCACATATATTTAAGTTAAAAAATTAAATTAAATTATTTTATATATAATTAGTTTTTTTAATATTTTAAATTGTGGATATGTTACTATTCATTTTCACGGTATTATTAAGTAGATATTCATTTAAATTATTTAAAAGAATTCATTACAAATTTTATCAATGAGCAGAGACTTTTACTGTCATCCTAGAATATATGAAATATTGGTTTGGTAGTTTTCTCTGTAGACTTTAAATTTGATCTTGTAAGGCTTGGGTAGCTTTGTATCCTTTATTTTCTTAATTAATGAATTTTCTTTTGTTGATGAAAAGAAAATCACTGATAAAAGTATTGGTTTGGTAGTTTTCTCTGTAGAATTTAAATTTTGTATCAATATCTATCATCGTAACAAAAAATTATAGATTAAATTTTTGCACATTTTTTTACCTAATCCAGTTATAGCATAGTCTGAGTTTTTGCATGCAAAAGCTCATATTGATTATCTTTTATTGGGTTTGAGCATGAATTAAAATTTGATATTTTTAAATTTAAATTGGGGTTGCAAAAGTCAATACAAAACTTCAATTTTTTTATTTTTATTTTGTTATACTCTTACTCTAATCCAGGGATGGTAATGGG